GCGGTAGCTTCCCAAAATAAGGGTACCCCAACATAGACCCCAAGACGCTATAATCCTCATTATAGGAACCCCAAAAATGGTACGCTTAATTGGGAAAAACATGCCTGTTGCACAAATATTATGATCCCTATAATCCCTGTAGTTTCCATTTTCTTTTCCACTGCCCCAATATACTATAATGTATTACCTTTTGTGCAAGATCAAGGCTTGCCGAATCGCAGCAGAGGCTTCACGAAAGGAAGCATAAAGTAGTTCTTGTGCGACTCGACAATCCGTCTCCACATCCGAATACCTGATGCATCCCTATGTATTGATATATCATCCTTGCCGGCCTCCAAAGAAAGTTCTACTCGAATGTGATAATTCTTGTTGCAACCATCCTCCCAAGGGGGACCATTGTATTTTTTCCAGCCCGGAATCCCGAACCCTACAGGAATAGGCATCTCTGTGGGCTATGTAAGTCACAGAGTCCCCTCAGGTTTTGAAAGCTTCTGACCCCTAAGCCCTAAACCGTAAACGCTAAACACCAGGAGCCTCTAGCAAGGCTAGCATGGCGGCATGGTTGCGAGCATGGTCCACGGCGTCCCAGCCCTTGTCGTCCTTGCGCATAGGACCAAAGGCTTCATGTTTGAGGTGTAGGGACTGGGGTTTAGGGTTTAGGGTTTTGGGGTTTAGGGTTGGGGTAGTAGGATTTAATTTAGTGGTTAGGGCTTGGAGTAGGCTTTAAAGTTAATTAAGGCCCGGAATAGGGTTTGGTTTCCAGCCTGCCTGCCGTGTGTAACCCCTTCTTCCGTGAGGGATTGGGTAGAGTTCTTCTTTGAAGCATGCGGGCCGGCATCAGACTGCGATGTAAGCACTGTTGAAACATGGACCCGCTCTACATTGGAGTTTCTCTACCCAATATTCTATCTGCATAAGAGGGACTTCATGTAGGCCCCCAAAGCCCTAAATTACTTAAGGGGGACTATACTCCCAGGGTTCTCTAGGGTGTCTCCGATCTTGAGAAGAGCTAACTCTAGGATTTATAGTGTTTAGGCTCAACCCAAGACCGCTTTCAGGGTTTAAGGGGAATATATCTCAAGATCGCCTTCCCCCTGCACCACTCTACGAAACACAATCCCTATATCTGGTCTACATGGCAATCCAACTTAGTTTGCCAAACCCTACACATCCCGTTTTACCCCTATAACCCCCCCAACTCTATACATCCCCTCATACCCCGAAACAGCCCTCTAGATTCTCCACATCCATATATATACCCCTATATGCCTGTGTAAATATCCAGGTCGCAGACTCCTTGTACAATTCAATTCTGATATAGCGTACCTCAAATAGACCTCACTACTATGTTGGTAGTTGTTCAGGCTTCCTAGATGAAACCTAAACCCTGATCCCAAGATGATTCTCAATCCCTCAGAATCCTAAACCCCACACCTTGCGTCCTTCCCCCTCACAGTAACTCCTATTCCCCATGGTGGTAGCTGTTATTGTTAAGGAGAATGACCCAACCTATGAGCCCTAATCAGTTTCATGCTCGGTCCTTGCGCCCAGTCTGGTCCCCAGCCTCCAAAAGTAACTTAGCCACCTGGCTTTCAAGTTGAGATTAACGCTTTGGCGGCGCTTGGCCTAAGATGTGGTATCGAAGGCTTTTCCTTGTGGTTGGGTTTGGGGTTTAGGGTTTAGGATTTAAGGTCTAAAAGGGCTTGGAGCTTTACGAGGATTGTCGGCTCAAAGTTTGAGATCCAACCCACTGACCAGGCAATTGCTGGCATGGGCCCCAGTCCTGTAGGAGCCTATTCATTAGTGCGTCAAGGCTTTAAGGTTTAGGGTTTCAGGGTTTGAGGGTTTAGGGCTTAAGGCTTTGAGTGTATCAGGTTAGATGACAGATGAAGACCACAATGAAACATGGGTTTGCTAACAACAGGAATCCTTTGCGAGCCCGTATCCATCACGTCTACCAGCCTGCGATGCAGGAACCCAGTCGCCTTCTGATGCCGCTTAGGGCTTAGTGTTTCGGACGATGTTTGTGAAGGTCCTCAGAATGCCGCCGAAATGTCCGGGCTTCGTCTGGATCCAAAGACTGCAATCCAGTTGACGTGACTTCTTCGTGCAGAAAAATTCAAGGGGCCTCACTCAGCATCTGCATGGTTGACGTCATGAAGTCTTCGGATGTGATGGCGTCGCTTCCATCTGGACTTGGGAAGCCCTTTGTGGCATTCCATTCAGCATTCGCCCTGTGGGCTTGACTGAGAGCTGGGATGAAGTCGACCTCCTGCTGCCCTGACGACACAGGCACGGTTGACAGCCAACTGCGCGGTTTTGGTACCGCATGCCGTGGTCTGAGGGGTTAGGGGCTAAGCATTAAGATTCAAAGTTTAGGAAAGGTTCTGGGCACCCAGACAGCTCACATGAGCTGGTTCTTGAAACAAGGGGAGCAACATGATATGTATATGTGTGATGTGTAGGCTTTCGGGTTTAGGGCGGGTTCCACTTGGACATCAGGGCTTCCATTTTGAGTTTGTGGTAGGGCTTATGTAAGGAATTATGGACTCGCATGTCGGCACTCGAAAGCCTTCTCTTTTCCTTGGTGTAGGACTTAGGCCACAACATCGACCCCCCAATACGATTATTCCTGCTGGTGGGACGTGGAACAAACTTAACTCTTCCTCGGAAAACCCCGGGTCAATAACCCAATAACCCTGTACATATCCCTACCCACCTATACATATACATGTACACACACTTATATGCACATACACACACACGCTATATACAAATATATATATATAAACAGATGTATGTCTATAAACTTGTATGTATGTATATATCTATATGACCCCCCGCCAAAGATCTACGCTATCAGGGCCCTGAGCTGCCCCTGCATCTCAAGGACCTGCTCAAGCACAGACCTCCTATCCCTGACGTCCAAAGCTAAAGACCCACCACCCATGATTGACCTGATGCCAGGCAGCTTAAGCATCTTCCGAAACTCAGAGCCCTCAACCCGGAAGCCCAAAGTTATAGACCCATCACCCCGGACAAGCTTGAAGCCCAGCATCCGAAGAATCTGCTCAGAGTCGACACCCCCATCCTTGAAATCCCACGTTAAGCACCCACCACCTACATCCTGCACCCTACACACGACGACTACATCCTGACCAGGGAGCGTACTGTTTTATGTCGTGCTCTCGGCTCATATCCAACGCAGCATAGCCGAATTTTATCTACACATGTCCGGCTCACCGCAGGCGCGCTCGCAAATCTCGTTCACAAGACATAAGCTTCATCTACATCCTCCGCGTATGGCAGCAGCAAACTAATCTCGCGCAAGTAACGGTGCATCTCTGACGGACACTCGTCAGCGCCACATGTATCGCACTGCCCGGCACAAGTTGAATTGTAGGCGAAAAGCGATGCTCCAAATGCGTCAAAAAAATCCACGGATAAGCATGTGGAATACCTTACGTAAGACACAAGCAGTCGCCACTGAATGATGCCGCCCGCGTTGACGCTTGCACACGGTACGTGCGCTCTTTGAAGACCACGCCAGAATGACAGCTCTAGCCAGTATCTGCTAATACCCGTCTACACGGAATAGTTCTAGCTGAATATCGACATGATAGCCCACGCGCTGGGTCAAATTCCAATCTGTGTGACGGTCGCGGAACTGAGCCATGACAATCTCAACAGGAGTCACGTCATCTCCAACAAACTCTCTGGAGCTCCGGCAAGAGACCAGCATCAAGTTGGGAATCTGAGGATGCTCTGGCTCTGTCGGATACCGCGCGTGCTGTCTACCAGTGGTGCACAGAACTCGGAGCCCAGGCAATCTTTGAAGAAGGTGCTGGATGGCCTTGCGTGCAGAGTGAGGCCCCGCCCTGATCTGTAGACAGGAACACAGACTTTGCCAGTGCAAATTTTCCTGGCACGGCAAGTTGCGATTTTGTCACAAAAAATAACTTGATGATGTTCATGGTGCCATCCTCAAGGTTTTTCATGATAACCTCCATCTTCTCATTTGGCGGGAAAGGCTCCTGCACATGTAGCGGCTGAGTAGCCTCCAACCAAGCAAGCAGAGCTAGGAAATCGACCTCTCTACCCTCCAGCCAAAGCAGTAGCAAGCACAGCTAGGAACTCAACCTCCCTCAGATCATCCTGTGCTAAAGCTTTAGCCTCTAGCCAATGCAGTAGCAAGCACAACCAGGAACTCGACCGTCACGCAAAACTTAGGCCTCAGGCACTATCCGACTGACCCCTGTTTTCTGTAAGTTCATCATGACTTTGTAGGGGATGCGCTTCTTCTGCCTGTTGTCTCCGCTGTACTTGATCAGGTACTGGGCGCTGGTCCAGGCATTTGCCCAATCGGATGGCCACGAGGTTGTGTCGGTCGTGTTGATGCTCCTGATGTCACTCGGCGTGAGGCTAGGCGAAGAAGACGACGAAGAGGAACTGCTATTGCCTCTCGACGCTTTTGTTTCTTGCGCTTCTTGTTGTCATCCGTGTCATTGTCGATGGTCTCACCCGGGCTCTCGGGCTCCTCACGGTTCTTGCCGTCATCTTCGGAATTGAAACCTCAAACGTGGAGAATACTAGGATTTGACTGAAGCACATGGATTCATTCAGAATTGAAAGCTCAAAGTGCAAAATACTGTCTATACATATAAAAACGTGGAGCTTTTGGGGGAGCGTACTATACATATATACATATATATATATATATTTGTGTGTATGTATGTGTCTGTCTGTCTGTCTGTATGTATGTATGTATGTATGTATGTATGTATGCATGTATGTGTGTATGTATGTATGTATGAATGCATGTATGTATGTATGTATGTATGTATGTATGTATGTATGAAAAAAGTATATGTATATATGTGTATATATTCCCGCTACGCGTCTATATCTCCCTATGCACCCCCACACGCGCTATACGCGTTCAAGGAACCACTCCTTTATGAGAAGGCCGCATCCCCCTAAACCCTAAACCCTAGTCCAACCTCTTCGTGTCCATGCTTCGCAGCCCACATCCTTGGTGTCGTGCGGCTTGCCACAAATTCTGACCCGTACAGTAGGACCAATAAACAAACTTTTTGAATATTGGTTTAGAGTTTAAGATTTACAGAGGGAGCTTGTTTTGACCTCCAAGACGGGACACGGGCTTACTTACTCAACACACCCCTGTGCACGTGTCTAGGGTTGACAGTTCGGGGTTAGTCACCTAGACCTTCCCAGTACCCTCACAGAGGGGTGTCCCCAATGACTGGGGCTACAATGGAGAGTATTCAGAGGGCTTTGGCAACCGACTCAGAAACCCAAAGCCCCTGAACATGATTATAGTTAGCTTGTGATTATACTGCTTTATTCCAATCGTGTATAATTGCCCTTAACCCCAAACCCTAAACTCAACAGTCAAGGCTTAGGAAAAATATTTGGTGGCGGGGCTCCCGCGCATGGGCGCAGAACCTTTTGGCTAGCTTGAATGAAGGGAATGGACAAGAACATGGAAACTACTACAACGGGTTATATAGGGACTACTATAAGGACACCATGTCTTGGACAAACTCTAATGAGCCTGATGTCGTTCGGGACCAGGATTTGCCAAAAGAGTGGCGTCTAAACTTGCCTTATAGCGCCAGGAAACCTTGCTCAAAGTTTTAGGTTGGGGTTCAGGGTTAGGGTTCGGGTTTAAGTTCTGAGTTCTTACAACTGCGTGACACATCAAGAACATTACCGTGATCTGAGACGGTTGCATTTGGGCCTGGCTTTGCGACTAAACTTCTAGTTGACTCATCCATCGTTGCTGCGGCAAACACACATCTGAGTGCTTGGGCTTCAGGGTTTAAGAACGCAATAATCAAATACATCCCCCACACCTCCACCATGACTACTGATGCGAACAAGTTGAGATCAGTACTTGGAAGCGCTTTGCTTTGCTAGCCAGGCAGATTTATTCAAGATCTCAAATCAAAACTTGTAGAGACCATAGCATTTGGACCTACAGCGCCTTCAAAGGGTTGTATTTACTGAATGCGGTGCGATGATGGGATGGACAGTATAGGCAGTGGGCACCGATCGATCGCAGAAGCCAGAGCTTTCAAATGCACCGGCCCCTGTTCCTATGTTTTTGCCTCTTTTTTTTAGGAGGATGCAAAAGGGACCTGAATTCTGAAAATCCCAAATATTGAAAGTAGAAAAGGGCTTCCAAAACTGCGACCACCTTTGGCAAACTCCCAAAGAAGAAACTCAAGGCCTTGGTCCCTGGTACTGTGTGCAAGAACCTAGACCTGTAGGCAGAACTTCAGTCATCCTCACAAACTCAAAATCTCCGTACGTGCCCCCTCACATTTTGCTGACGGACTTTGCATTACCCTTGAAAGGCGAGATATGCAGGATGTTCAAACTGCTAAACCTAAAGCCCCAACCCGAAACTCTAAACTCTAGACCCTTAATGAACCTTCAACCTTGAGTCCTGCCGCCACCCATTAACAGTCTATAATAAGGGGAAGATCTAGGGCTGTATATAATCATAATATGAATACCATCCAGCTGTTATAGTCCCCCTTCAGTAGATAGAATAAGGTGTATATGGAGATCTTATTATAATATGCGCAAGGCCATATTCTATCTACTTAAAGGGGACTATAATGGGTGGGGGCAGTACCCAACTTAAACCTATGAGTGACGCCCCGGCTATACGGCCGGTGGGCAGCGCGCTCATGCCTTTCTCATCTCGAATGAAGATGTCGCAGCCGGCCTGAGAAAAAGCCAGCAGTTTGGCCTATTATCACCATTATTACTATTGTTACTATTTCTGCTGCTTTGGTGATGATTCTTTTTCCTGGTGTTCTTATTGCTAGTATTGCTGATATGGCTGGGACAAAGCCAACAGTTTGGCTTGTGCCTTACCCCTACGGCTCCTTTGGACTGTCCTGGGCTACAAGGTTAGGGCGAAGGTCTGCGCTCAACAAGAAATACAGGGAAATTTGCCCTAAACCCTAAGCCTTAGGACTTCGGGCCCCTTGAGTGTCACTTGGGCCCAAATCTTTGCAGGATTGGCTCTTTCAACTCAGCACTTGCCTGTACTTGAATCCTGAGCACTCGCAAAATCCTGAATTCTGTGGAAGCTCTAGGCCTACACCTTAGGTTGGGCCCCTGCATAATTTAGCCTCAGTTTTGGGGTATATTACATTATCAACGTATGACAAGTTTACCTGCTGACCCACGAACAGCGACCACGAGAGACAATGGCAACTTTGCGAGGGTCCTACTGCATTCCAAATTTACCGCTGGTAGTAGGTGGGCGCCTAACCTACCTCCCCTAAACCCTTGAGCCTAAACCCTGAATTCCAAATCCTTGGATCCTTGCATTTCCACCCGCACCCCCAAGGGTGGCCGCCAAAAGGCCGCCTATCATCTTTCACAAGCTGCACAATCATCGACATTCTCGGGCTACCTGAATATGATTTATCATGAGCTCCCCTACCCCCCCTCTAAATTACCCGTCTAGGCTCCCCCTGAATTATCCTTACTTGAGCCTAATCCCGAAATATAAAAGGGGTAGTATGGGAACCCATGAATTCGGAGTCTAGACCTTAGGGGATATGCCCCAGAAAATACAAGACAGGACCTCCAAAAAGGACGGACATCCAGCGTTTAAGTCGCTCCGTCTTACTCTCTCGATATCGTGAGCGTGAGGTGGGTGTGTAGGGACAGGGACTCATCAAGAACAAAACCTCAAGCTAGCCCGAAATCTGAAACTCTTCTACAGCTTAGGGTTTAGGGAACCGCAAACGGTCCGGGTACATGTGTGGGATATGCTTGGGGCCCAAAGGGATCACTATGTACTATGAGTTCCACAAACCCCAACCCCCTAACATTACCCTGCACCCTCAACCCTGAGGTGGAGGGTTTTTTTTTTCCAAGGTTTGGCTCCGCCATTTTTTTTCCAAGGTTTGG